ACTTCGTCCTTCCTTTTTTCTTTTTCAATTGTCAGAAACTACAAGTATACGCTCTCTAGCTCTCTACTTCGCTTGTAGCCAACGGGTTACCTTCAGATATGAGATGAAGAGGAAAGGGTCTGACATCAGGTCGTTCTTCAGTGGACCGGTAGATAAGAGAGCTCGCGTTGGAGAGCCGTCCAAAGGTCCGTCGCGGACGCTGTCGAGTGGAAATGTTCCAGTGCAGTTTGAAAATGTCGTGAGAATGGAATAAAACTAGAAACCGGCGGATTCTGCTCGAAAAGGTGGCATATTCTGCTCGAAAAGCAGTGAAATTGGCAGAATCATACAAACCTTATGGCGGGCAATTCCTCGAATTCTGCTCCATACTATAGTATTTTTATCCACATACCAAACATCCATAAAACTTACCAGAAAAAGTACCGAATTCTGTCAATTTTTCTGCCGGCAGAATCCGCCGGACCCTAAAAACAACTGCTCTTCACAGCTTCAGGACTTTGTTGTTGTTGTATTTGTTGTTTTGTTTTGGGGGGGGGGGGGGGGCGGATACCTTGGGCCCCCTCTTCGGCCAAGTCCTGGATCCGCCACTGCATCCCCCCCCCCCCCCCCACACACACACGTATGCACGCCCCTTTGACACAAACGATGGTAAAACAAAACCCATAACAACTTGCGCTGGGATTGCACCAGGCAACAGCTTCCAGTGTAGAAGAACTGAACCCCACTCTTCAGCCTTCTGGGAGTCACTTGCACGGTGAAGGCAAATCCTCAGCCTCACCTAACTTCAAAATGTCTCTTTGTGATATCCCGTGTTGTCAATGCATCCCTAGGGCTCATTCTAGGGCTCATTGGAAAGCTCTTGGTGAGAGCAACGCCAGGATACCAGGCTCCATCAATCAGCCGCAACAAATCAGGCGTGGGAGCACAGGAAATCCGCCTCCAAGCGTGGTATGCAAGAAAATTCGCTCCATCAACGCCATTCTTGTGTAGAGTGAATGATAGAAACGAGTGTGTCAGATTAAACACCTTCCCACTAAAAGCCTATTGGTAGTGTGCTATGCATGAGCTGCTGTGTATGGTGTACTAGGTGTACTAGTGTAAGCTTACCGATAGCAAAGATCGGCATCAATTCGTGCTAGACTGTCGTCCTGCGAGCTGCTGCTGCGAGAACAGATTGCTCCAGTAATCAAGTGAACTAACCAAGTTAGCCGGCCTGTAGTGACATACACAGCAATGATGTTGAAGATGACAACAGCGACAACAACAGCACAAGTGAATCGCGAATGAAAAATGAAAATCCATTTGGGGTGCACGAGTAGATCTCAATGACATTAAGCTAACAATGGTATTCTGAGTGGTTGTGACAATCATGAACCACATACACTGGACATGTATTGTACACACATGTCCGTAAACAGTCAGACACTCAGCATACCCATGCACAAGCAAGTGCATGAACACCGCGCTACACCAGTGCTGGCTGTCCCCTCAACATCATCTTTTCACATGATTGTATTGCACTCTTGGTCCTAGTAGACACTGATCAACAAGAGCAATACCTTCTTGCAGTTGAATGTCGCCTGCAGAGTTGGTCTGCATTGCAGATTGATACTGCTGCGCCGCGGCGTCAAACAGGTTCATCAGCAACTGAACCGTGCTCTCATACTGGCATTGCGCAATAGGTGCTATCTGCACATGACACACACCGAACCAAACAAAACACAAGCAAAAAACGGGTAATCAATTTCAAAGCCAAGTCACTATGTGCATGCACTAGCAGCAGTACATGTAGAGATATCCATAGCAACACAATCACTACAGATATCCATAGCAACACAATCACTACAGATATCAAGAGTACATGAAAACCAGAGTGTGCAGCTCGGATGGGTTGCTGTCACGGCGGAATTCCGTGATTACATCATTTTAGTGATGTAGTGCGTACAGGCAGGACTCGAGCAGGTCTCTTCCTGCACAACTGCAGCTCAGTTGTACGCACTACGCCATTTCCCGCCTCAGATTTGCAGCATTTATGATGTAATCACGGAATTTCGCCGTGACAGACACCCATACCAGAAAAGGCCCCAAGCTGCACACTCTGGTTTTCATGTACTCTTGCAGATATCCATAGCAACACAATCACTACAGATATCCATAGCAACACAATCACTACAGATATCCATAGCAACACAATCACTACAGATATCCATAGCAACACAATCACTACATATATCCATAGCAACACAATCACTACAGATATCCATAGCAACACAATCACTTCAGATATATTATGTAGAAGCAAGAAGAGGAAGGCAGCTACAAACAATCCAAATCTGGAAGGAGAAAGCAATTGATGATATGCCAAATAACATGCAACTAGACTTGAGAGGGCATTGCAAAGTAGTTGCATACAAAGTTCAAAGTTGTACGGTTACCTGTGAAGCCTAGTTCACATTCGACGGAGCGCGACGGGACGCGACGTAAGGATCGACGGGAAGCGACGGGACGGTCTGACGGCGTCCTATGTGAACACCAGGAACGGGTAACGCAACCGTACTACCGTACAGATCGGGAAGCGACGGGAAGAGTTGGATCGATCCAACTTTTCATACCGTAGACGGGCGTAGACGGGGACGCAAGCGTAAAAAACGGCTGCAATTTGAGTGTGAACAGGAGACGGCGTCGTGCGCCGACTACTCCCGATTCGTACTTGGAAATTTTTAGCATTTCGAACACTGCGCTTCCCATGATAACTCACAGAATGGCTAGCACGACTTGAGTTGAATTTTAGCAACATTAGATCTCGTGTCACTTATTGTATTTAGGGATAGTTCAGAAGCGTGACAGACGAACTATTCTATCATTTCCTGGGGCTATTATTTGAATGCCACAACTTTCAGGGCTAATATTTTGGTCTTCATGAAAAACTGGTATTGTGAACTTGATTCCGCTTCTTTCAAGGAGAAATAATTGAAAAGAAGTCCCGAAAAACGAGAAATTAGGTCCGAAAGTCACCCCGTCACATACCGTGCCTTATGACTCGCGCCGTTCGACGTTGAACATCGCAACGACTGCTGCATGTCGTGTCGTACGAATCGTACAGGATTTACAGCTCACCCCAGCCCTCCCGACAAGCCCTTACGTCCCGTGCCGTCGGCGTTGCGTCGAATGTGAACTAGGCTTGACTTGTGCTCCTGCAGAGCTCAGGGCCTACCATGTACACATTGTACTTACTCCGCGTCATTAAAATTGTCACTTCCCAGAGCGATTTTTGAAAATCATTTTGTCCACTCGAAGGGCAAAGAAATCAGCTAGAAATTGAGGCAGAGCATTGTCGACGGACCAAGCTTTAGTTTGTGGCCCCCCGCTTCGCTGCAAATGCAGCTAAAGTCAACGTCTTCATCACAGTTTGAGGCAGACCCTTCAGCACTCAACAAGACGCTGAACAAGACGCGCGTTCAAATTCAGGTCAAGAAACTTCGTTTTCAGGCGATCCATGCCTCCAGGTGGCAGGCAATGAAGGCAAGCTAGCATTTTTCAAGTACACTGCAACGACCTTCCAGCGGGATAGGGTAAGCAGTTCTGCACCTTCTTTCCTTGGCAAGCGCTTCGCTGATTTTGTTGGTGTTTACAGACCTGCTACCGTTGCAGCAACATGCGCCACACGTAGCGCATTTTAGGAATTTGAGACCATTTTGTTCTTGCCATCGTCAACTTCAGCAGTTCGTATTCAGGAGATACCAGGATTCTTATACCCGAGCTTGAAGTCTTGACAAATGCCCACGCGAACGATGTGGGACTGCACGAACTCCAGAAAACGAAATGCGCTCTGGGGCGGAATAGTGCGGAGCGCGATGAACTTGCTTGGTGCGGAAGAGAGCGACAAAGTTCGAGACCACCACGGCTTCAGTAACGAGTAGACATTGCACAGGAAGGGTCACACCAGTGTTCGAACATAGAAAACAGCGATTCCGACAGTCTGACTAAGACGAGCCAAGTCACAAATATTGCGATGTGCGAAGCGACAATTTTAATGACGCGGAGGAAGTAGTATAATTTGTATGCAACTTGTGTGCGATGCCCACTCAAGTCTAGTTGCACGTTATTTGGCATATCATCTATTGGCTAAATTACGAGTGATCATGACTGAATTTCATGAGAAAGGAATGCTGCATTGAGATGGAATAAGAATAGAATGTCTAGGAACACAATCAGTGGCAGCGGGTGGCTGGCTGGCTGGATGGATGGGTGGACAAGGTACAATGGAATGCACACACTCTCCACAAAGCTGGAGCAGAATGTTACATTTCAATATGCTGCTAGTTCACCTTACCATTGCTAGTTGCTGTTTGACGGATTCAAAGTCTTCCAGAGGGTCCTCAAGTCCATCTCTGCACACAAACAAGCAAGAGTCAAGAATTACACACACTCCATGTACAGGACAGGCATAGCATACACTGTACTACTCACACCTTCAAGAAACGAGCAAGAAACAATGTTCCTCAACTTGTCAAGAAATCATAAAACAGATCTGCAAAATCCCCCCATACACACCTGCACACACAATGCAATCTGCATTGAAGAACCCAGACCCGGGGATGTCTTGGACTCGTGCTAAATGTGTGGACAAAATGAAGGTCGAGTTCGTTCACGTTTTCTGTGTGGGCATTATTGACTACTAGTACTTTGAAGTAGAATTTGTTCATTTGCTGACCCGTCCATTCAGCCCATTCAGCCCTAACCTAACACATGTACTAACTCACCGTAGCACAGCCATTACAGAGTCGACTCGTGACATGATGTAAGCCTTGGTGATCTATACACACACACACACACACACACACACACACACACACACACACACACACACACACACACACACACACACGCAGACACACACGCACACACACACACACACACAAACAACAAGCACATTGGCAAACAGTTGCAGCAGTAGTAACAGCCACACACTGCGACACAATAACCACACTCAACCTGAC